CCCACCTGTCCCCACCTGTCCCTCCCCACGGCAGAGCTGCGGGCGCTGGCCGAGCTGATCGGGCCCTACGGGATGCGGTTCCTGAGCGAGAACCTGATGTGGCACGTGGGGTCCCAGGTCACCGAGCTGAAGGTACCGGGGGTGGCACGGGGATGGGGACAGGGACAGGGATGGGGACAGGGACAGGAGAGAGGGGACAGGAGAGAGGGGACAGGGGCTGGGACAGAGGCTGGGACAGGGGACACAGGACAGGGGACAGGGGCTGGTGCTGCTGGCACTGTGACAGGGCAGGCAGGGCCACCCTGGTGCCACCCCAGCCTCGTCCCTTCCCATTCCCTGGGCTCAGCGGGAGGGTCAGAGGTGCCAGGTCCAGCTGTGTCCCCCAGTGTCCTCATGTCCCCAGTGTCCCCATGTCCCCGGTGTCCCCATGTCCCATGTCCCCATGTCCCATGTCCCCGTGTCCCCGCAGAAGCTGGTGGCTGAGAACATGGACACGCTGGTGCAGCTGCGCTGCTGCAGGCCCGAGCAGAGGCCGGCGCTGCTGCCCCGCCTGAGCTGTGAGTGTCACCCAGGGGTGTCACCCACGGGTGTCACGCACCCACACGGGGGTGTCACGCACCCACACGGGGGTGTCACACCCACCCGTGTCACCCCGCTGCCCCTCGCGTGTCCCCGCAGCGGCCGAGAACGTGCTGAAGCGCATGACCATCATCGGGGAGATCCTGAGCTTCCGCGCCATGGCCCAGCAGGGCCTCCGGGAGGTGGGACCCCCGAACCGGGGCACCCTTGGAGCCTGGGACCCCCGAACTGGGGCACCCCCGACCCTGGGACCCCCCGTGACCCCCCGTGACCCCCCGTGACCCCCCGTGACCCCCCGGCCCCCAGGTGTTCTCCCAGCACTGCCCCTTCCTGACGGGCCCCATCGAGTGCCTGGCGGAGCTGGTGACCCCCGACACCGACATCCAGGTGGGGACAGGGACACGGGGCCGGGGGTGGCACCGCGTGGCATCGCGTGGCACCGCGTGACACCGCGTGTCCCCTGTCCCCGTGCGTGTCCCCAGGTCACCCTGAGCATCTTCGAGCTGGCCTCGGCCGCGGGGGTCCCGTGCGAGGTGGACCCGGCGCTGGTGGCCGCCCTGAGGACAGGTGGGGGTGGCGCTGGGGACACCGCGGGGGGCGCTGTCACCGGGGTGGCACTGTCACCGCGCTGTCCCCTGTCCCCGCAGAGGGCTCGTCCCCCGAGGAGGAGTACAAGGTGTCCTGCCTGCTGCTGGTGTTCGTGGCCGTGTCCCTGCCGCTGCTGGCCGCGGACCCCGCGTCCCTCTACAGCCCCGAGCTGGACGGTGAGGGCTGGCCGTGTCACTGTCACTGTCACCGTGTCACTGTGTCACTGTGTCACTGTGTCACTGTGTCCCCTCTACAGCCCCGAGCTGGACGGTGAGGGCTGGCTGTGTCCCTGTCACTGTCACTGTCACTGTCACTGTCACTGTCACTGTGTCCCCTCTGCAGCCCCGAGCTGGACGGTGAGGGCTGGCCGTGTCACTGTCACTGTCACTGTCACTGTCACTGTCACTGTCACTGTGTCACTGTGTCACTGTGTCCCCTCTACAGCCCCGAGCTGGACGGTGAGGGCTGGCTGTGTCCCTGTCACTGTCACTGTCACTGTGTCACTGTCACTGTCACTGTGTCCCCTCTACAGCCCCGAGCTGGACGGTGAGGGCTGGCTGTGTCCCTGTCACTGTCACTGTCACTGTGTCACTGTCACTGTCACTGTGTCCCCTCTACAGCCCCGAGCTGGACGGTGAGGGCTGGCCGTGTCACTGTCACTGTCCCTGTCACTGTCACTGTGTCACTGTGTCCCCTCTACAGCCCCGAGCTGGACGGTGAGGGCTGGCTGTGTCACTGTCACCGTCCCTGTCCCTGTCACTGTGTCACTGTCACTGTCACTGTGTCACTGTCCCTGTGTCACTGTGTCACTGTGTCCCCTCTACAGCCCCGAGCTGGACGGTGAGGGCTGGCCGTGTCACTGTCACTGTCCCTGTCACTGTCACTGTGTCACTGTGTCACTGTGTCCCCTCTACAGCCCCGAGCTGGACGGTGAGGGCTGGCCGTGTCACTGTCACTGTCACTGTGTCACTGTCACTGTGTCACTGTGTCCCCTCTACAGCCCCGAGCTGGACGGTGAGGGCTGGCTGTGTCCCTGTCACTGTCACTGTCACTGTCACTGTGTCACTGTGTCCCTGTGTCACTGTGTCCCTGTGTCCCCTCTGCAGCCCCGAGCTGGACGGTGAGGGCTGGCTGTGTCACTGTCACTGTCATTGTCACTGTCACTGTCACTGTCACTGTCACTGTCACTGTGTCACTGTGTCACTGTCACTGTCACTGTGTCACTGTGTCACTGTGTCCCTCTACAGCCCCGAGCTGGACGGTGAGGGTGGCCCGTGTCACTGTCACTGTGTCACTGTGTCACTGTCACTGTGTCACTGTGTCACTGTCACTGTCACTGTGTCCCCTGTCCCCTGTCCCCTGTCACTGTGTCACACTGTCACTGTGTCACTGTGTCACTGTGTCACTGTGTCCCCTGTCCCTGTCCCCTGTCACTGTGTCACTGTGTCACTGTGTCACCGTGTCCCCACGTCCCCACGCTGGCAGTTCTCCCTGTGCCATTGTCACAGCAGAGGCTTTGGTGGCACAGGGGGACGCCGGGTCTGTCACCAAGGCAGGTGGCACGGTGGAGACTCTGGGTTGTCCCCAACCCTCCTGTGTCCCCAACCCCCTCTGTGTCCCCAACCCCCTCCGTGTCCCCAACCCTGTCCTGTGCCCCCGGCCTTCCCGATCCCCCAGTGCCACCTTTACTCACTGCCATCCCCGCGTGTCCCCGCGTGTCCCGCGTGTCCCCGCGTGTCCCCAGGCCACCTCAACAACGTGCACTGCCTGGCCAAGGCCATCGCGCAGCTCTCGGCCGCGCTCTTCACCGTGCACGGCAAGAACATCGAGACGCACCTGAAGGAGTTCCTGCTGGTGAGTGGAATGGACCTGGGACACTGGGACTGTCCCCTGTCCCTGTCACCTCCTGTTCCCTCTGTCACCTCCTGTCACCTCCTGTCCCTGTCCTGCTGGTGAGTGGAATGGACCTGGGACATTGGGACTGTCCCCTGTCCCTGTCACCTCTGTCACCTCTGTCCCCTCTGTTCCCTCTGTCACCTCCTGTTCCTGTCCTGCTGGTGAGTGCGCTGTCCCCTCTGTCACCTCTGTCACCTCTGTCCCCTCTGTCACCTCCTGTCCTTGTCCTGCTGGTGAGTGGAATGGACCTGGGACATTGGGACTGTCCCCTGTCCTGTCACCTCCTGTCACCTCTGTCCCCTCTGTCCCCTCTGTCCCCTCCTGTCCCTGTCCTGCTGGTGAGCCCGGCCTGTGCCTTCTGTGTCCTCCTGTCCCCTCCTGTCCCCTCCCTGGGCTGTTCCTGTCCCCTTCCTGAGTGTCCCTGTCCCTGTCCCTGTCCCTGTCCCTGTCCCTGTCCCTGTCCCTGAGGGTGGCTGTCCCTGGCGGTGGCTGTCACTCTCACTGTCCCTGTCCCTGTCCCTGTCCCATCCCTGTCCCTGTCCCATCCCTGTCCCTGTTCCTGGCGGTGGCTGTCACTCTCACTGTCCCTGTCCCTGTCCCTGTCCCTGTCCCTGTCCCTGTCCCCAGCTGGCCTCCAGCAGCCTCCTGCAGCTGGCCCAGGAGCCGGACAAGGCGCGGGCGCGGAACCAGGACTCGATCGCGCTGCTGCTGCAGCTGGTGGGCACCCGGGCACTTGGGGGGCACCTGGGGGACACCTGGGGGGCACCTGGGCACTGGGGGGGGCACCTGGGACACCTGGGGGACACATGGGGACATGTGGGGGACACATGGGGACACCTGGGGGGACCCTGGGGACAGCTGGTGATGGCACATGGGCACCTGGGGGGCACCTGGGGGGCACCTGGGGGGCTCTGGAGTGGCCCCGGTCCATCCCTGATGTCCCGGGGTGTGTCCCAATGTCCCATGTCCATTCCCGCTGTCCCCCCCGGGTGGGCTCAGGGATGTCCCCGAGCGTTCTCCAGACCCCCCCCGGCATTGTCACCCCGGGCTGGAGCAATTGAAATGCAAATATTTCAATATTTCAAATATTCATTTAAAATATTTCAACCCGAGCCGGGCCGGGAGAGCCGCGAGGGGTCGGGAGGAGGAAGGGGGGGGTCGGCAGGAGTGGGGGAAGGGTCGGGAGGAGGAAGGGGGTGCTGATGGGTGCCCCCTCCCCCCAAAAACCCCAAAAAGATCGTGGCCGAGTCGTCCTTCCTGACGCTGGACATGCTGGAGAGCTGCTTCCCCTACGTGCTGCTGCGCAACGCCTTCCGCCAGCTCTGCCGGGAGCCCCCCGGCCGGGCCCCCCCGCACTGAGCGGGACCCCCGGGCCCCCCCGGGACCCCCCGGACCCCCCCGGGCCGCTCCGGGACCCCCCGAACCCCCCCGAATCCCTCCGGGACCCCCCCGCACTGAGCGGGACCCGGGCCCCCCCGGACCCCCCCGGGACCCCCCCGGGCCGCTCCGGGACCCCCCGAACCCCCCCGGGACCCCCGGACCCCCCCGGGCCGCTCCGGGACCCCCGGACCCCCCCGAATCCCCCCGGGCCGCTCCGGGACCCCCCGCACTGAGCGGGACCCCCGGGCCCCCCGGGACCCCCGAACCCCCCCGAATCCCCCCGGGCCGCTCCGGGACCCCCCGAACCCCCCCTGACCGCACCGAGACCCCCCGCACTGACCGCACCCCCCTGACCCCCGTGTTCCACCCCGGGACCCCCGCGGGACCCCCCTGCCCCCCCCCAAATTCCTTAACCCATCCCCCCCCCCCCAGGACCCCCAAATCCCAACCCTGTCCCCCCCGGACCCCCGTGCCCCTCCCCAAATATCCCATCCCGCCCCCCTGCGCCCCCCAAACCCTTCCCACACCGCTGGCTGCCACCACCCTGTCCCCAAATGTCCCCAAATGTCCCCAAATGTCCCCAAATGTCCCCCCGCTGTCACTAAAATCCTCTTTTCACCACAAATTCACCTCTCGGGAATTTTTGGAGTCCGCGGGGATGTTCCGGGGGCTCCGGGGGGGTGTCCGGGGGTGTCCGGGGGTGTCCGGAGTGTCCGGGGGTGTCCGGAGTGTCCGGGGGTGTCCGGAGGTGTCCGGGGGTGTCCGGGGCTGTCCGGGGGCTCCGGGGGGGTGTCCGAAGTGTCCGGAGTGTCCGGGGGTGTCCGGAGTGTCCGGGGGTGTCCGGGGGTGTCCGGGGGTGTCCGGGGGTGTCCGGGGGTGTCCGGAGGGTCCCACAGGGAGGGGGGTTCAGAATCCCTCCCCCCCCTTCCCAAACCCGCTCCATCCCGCTGGGGCCGTGCCTCAGTTTCCCTCCTCCCTCTCACCGTTTCCAGCCACACCCTGACCCCCCCAGGCCCCCCCAGGATTATTTTTTATTATTTTTTTTTTAATTTCCCCATCTCCTGGCGGGTTTATTTCCCTCCCGGGCGGCGTTTTTGGGGCAGAACGCGCGGGGCCGTTTCCATTCCGCGCACGGCGGCGGCTCCGGGATGAGTCACCGGCACCGGCAGCGGCGACATCGCCCCGGGACCCCCCCGCGACCCGGACCCCCCCCAAAAAATCCGGGCTTGGGGGGCGGCCAGGACGCGGCCGGCAAAAATCGCGTTAAACCCCCAAAAAACCCCAAAAAAACCCCATAAAACAGAACAAAACGGCAAAAAAAAAAACCCCTAAAAATGACAACGAGCCCCCCCCCACCGGGGGGCGGCCCCCCCGCCCCCTCCCCGCTCCCGGGGGGCTCGGCCGCCCCCTCCCCGCTCCCGGCCCGGGTTTATTTCGGGCCCGGCAATCACGAGCCCGAATCGTTCCCCGGAGCCCCCCCGAACCCCCCGAGCCCCCCGAGCCCCCCCCGCTCCTCCCGCTTTTGTCTCGCGCGCGCCCACGGACCCCCCCGGGACCACCCCCACCCCAAAACCCCGCCCCCCCCCCCCGCAGCCCAAAGTTTCGGCAGAGAAAAGCGAAGATTCGGGGGAGAAAAGCGAAAATTCGGGTTTTTTGGGGTTTTTTTTGGGGTTTTTTTTGGTTTTTTTTGAACCCCGAAATCGACTCGAGGAGCCCAAAACGAGCGGCTCCGCTTGGAGGAGCCCGACATGAGCGGTTCTGGCACCCCAAAAGTGATTTTGGGGGCCCTAAAATTGGTTTTGAGCAGCCCCAAAATGAGTTCGGGACCCCCCCAATGTGAGTTTGGGACCCCCAAAATCCGTTCGAGGATCCCCAAAATGAGTTTGAGGATGCCCAAATCAGTCTGAGGACCCCAAAAGTCACTTTGAGGAGCCCGAGTTTTTTGAAGACCCCCAAAATGAGTTTGAGACCCCTAAAATCAGGTCGAGGATCCCCAAAAGCAGTTTGAGAAACCCCAAAATGCTTTTGAGAACCCCCAAAATGCGTTTGAGAACCCCCAAAATGCGTTTGAGAACCCCCAAAATGAGTTTGAGGCCCCTAAAATCAGTCCAAGAAACCCAAAATCACTTTGGGGACCCCCGAATTTCTTTGAAACCCCCCCAAAATGAGGTGGGGGTCCCCCCACGAGCGGCTGGAGGAGCCCAAATTTGGGGTTGGAGACCCTCAAGTTGCCCGGGGGGGGGGGTCACAGCCCGGGGGGGTCCCAAGGGTGCAAATCCGTGAGGGGAGGGACCCCCAAACACATTTTGGGGGGTTAAAGAGCGGGGCCCCCCCAGAATCAGCGGCTGGAGGTGCCGGGGGGGCCCGGGGGTGCCGGGGCGGGCTCGGGGGGCTCGGGGGGGCACCCCAGGGTGGGGCGCTGCCGCGGTGGGCGCTGCTCCCGCCCCCGCCGTTACATAAAGGCTGATTGACATTCCCGGGGGCGCCTGCGGGGAGCCTGCGGGGGGGGCGCACCCCAAAACCCCCCCGGGCCGTCCTCACACCCCCCCGGGCCCGCATGGGGGTCCCCGCACCCCAAAACCTCCCTGGGTCAGTCCTGAGACCCCCCCGGTCTGAACCTGAGGTCCCCTCACCCAAAAACCGCCCCCCCGGGCCACCCCTGGGACCCCCCCGGGCCACCCCTGGGACCCCCCCGGGCCACCCCTGGGACCCCCCCGGGCCACCCCTGGGACCCCCCCGGGCCACCCCTGGGACCCCCCCCCCGGGCCAGCAGCGCCCCCGAGGGGTTCCAGGGGGGCTGGGGGGCACGGGGTGGGCACGGGGTGGGCACGGGGGGGGCACGGGGGGGGCAGGGGGTCCCCTCAAGCTCCAGGTGCCCCCCCCAGCCCAGGGGAGAGGCCGCGGTTTGGGGGGGGGGTTGCTGACCCCCCTCAGGTGGTGGAGGGGACAAAGGGACACTGCCAGGGGTCGGGCACGGAGGGGGCACCGGGGGGCACCGGGGGGGTCACGGCCCCTCCCTGGGGGTCACCGGGGGGCTCTGAGCCCTCCCCCCGCTGCCAAACCCGGAGGCGCCCCCACAGCCCCCCCGGGGGGCCCGGGGCGCCTCCCCCCCCCCCCGGGGGTCCTGACCCCCCCCACCCCCCCCGGAGCTTCAGGAGGTTTCGGGGTCCCCCCCCCCCCATTGGGGGCCCCCCCAGAGGGGTCCTGGCTGCCCCCGGGGGGCTCCCGGACCGCTCCCTCCCCCCGGGGGTCCCGGGGCAGCCGCCCCTCCCCCCGCGTTCCCCCGGGGGTCCCGGCGCCGCGCGGGGCTGGGCGGGGACCCCCCCGCTCCGGTCCCGGCCCCCGCCCCCGGCTGCCCCCGCCCCGCCCCGCCCGCCGGTGCCGGTGCCGGTGCCGGTGCCGGCTCGGGGAAAGTTGCGGCGAGCCCCGGTCGGCGGAGGCTGAGGCGGCGGCGGCACCGGGGCACGGCGGCGGCACCGGGGCACGGCGGCGACAGCGGCGGCACCGGCGGCACCGGCGGCACCGGCCGAGCATCCCCCGGTAGGAGCGCGCAGCATCCCCGCTCCGGCGCTGCCCATCCCCGCTCCTCCGCTCCCCAGCCCGGTTCTTCCCGCTTCCCCCCGGCCCCGGCGCTCCCGGTTCTCCCCTCCGGTTCTGCCCTCCCGGTTCTTCCATCCCGGTTTTCCCATCCCCGGTTCTCCATCCCCGGTTCTCCCCTCCCGGTTCTCCCCTCCCGGTTCTCCCCTCCCGGTTCTCCATTCCCGGTTCTCCATTCCCGGTTCTCCCCTCCCGGTTCTCCATCCCGGTTCTCCATCCCCGGTTCTCCATTCCCGGTTCTCGGTTCCCGGCCCTCTCTTCCCGGCCCTCCCCGGTTCTCCATTCCCGTTTCTCCGTCCCCGGCCCTGCCCGGTTCTCCATCCCGGTTCTCCGTTCCCGGCCCTCTCTTCCCGGCGCTCCCCGGTTCTCCCCCGCCGCCGCTCCCACCCCCGGTGCCCGGATCCATCTTGGCTCCGGTGCTGCCTGCGCAGCCGCCGGCTACCGGGGGGCGGGGGGGGGGCCGGGCCGGGGGGGGGCGGCCGCCGGGGCTGCGGCCGCTACCGGGGCCGGGGGAGCCGAGCACCGGGGCCGGGGGAGCCGCCGGGGCCGGGGGAGCCGCCGGGGCCGGGGGGCTCCGGGGTTAACGGGAGGCGCCGGGAACCGGCACGGCGGGAGCAGCGGCGGCGGCGGCGGGAGGGACCGGGAGCTACGGGAAAGGACCGGGGGCTACGGGAAGGGACCGGGGGCTACGGGAAGGGACCGGGGGCTACGGGAAGGGACCGGGGGCTACGGAAGGGATCGGTGGCTACCGGAGGGACCGGGGGCTACCGGAGGGACCGGGGGCTACAGAAGGGATCGGGGGCTACGGGAGGGATCGGGGGCTACCGGAGGGACCGGGGGCTACGGGAAAGGACCGGGGGCTACGGGAGGGATCGGGGGCTACCGGAGGTACAGCGGGCTACCGGAGGGACGGGGCGCTACAGGAGGGACCGGGGGCTACCGGAGGGACCCGGGGGCTACCGGAGGGACCGGGGCCGGGCCGGGCTGAGCGCGCCGCCGGTGCCCAGGGGCGATGGAGCCGCCGCGGAGCCTCCCGGGGCTGGAGCGGGAGCGCGGCGCGCTGGACGCGGCCGGGGGGTGCCCGTCCCCGCTGGACCCCCGCGCCCTGCCCGGCAGGAAGGTCTGGGTCAAGCTGCGGGCGCTGTGAGTGACCCCCGGCCGCGGGACCCCCAAACCCAGGGGAGAGACCGGGAGGGACCCCAGAGAGAGACACCCCAAAGCGGGACAGCCCCCCCCAAACAGAGACACCCCAAAGCGGGACAGCCCCCAAAGAGAGACACCCCAAAGAGAGACACCCCAAAGAGAGACACCCCAAAGCGGGACAGCCCCCAAAGAGAGACACCCCCCAAAGAGAGACACCCCAAAGAGAGACACCCCCCAAAACGGGACAGCCGCCTCAAAGAGAGACACCCCCCAAACAGAGACACCCCCCAAACAGAGACACCCCCCAAACAGAGACACCCCAAAGAGAGAGACCCCAAAGCGGGACAGCCCCCAAAGAGGGACAGCCCCCAAAGAGAGACACCCCAAAGAGAGACACCCCCCAAAGAGAGACACCCCCCAAAGAGAGACACCCCCCAAAGAGAGACACCCCCCAAAGAGAGAGACACCCCAAAGAGAGAGACCCCACAAAGAGAGACACCCCCCAAAGAGAGATACCCCCCAAACAGAGACACCCCCCAAACAGAGACACCCCCCAAAGCGCGGCAGCCAAACCCCAACGCTCGGCCCACAAACGGGGACCCCAAGCCCCAAACTGGGACCCCTAAACCCCAAACTGGGACCCCCTAAACCCCAAACTGGGACCTCTAAACCCCAAACTGGGACCACCAAACCCCAAACTGGGACCACCAAACCAGGACCCCTCAGACCCAAGCCGGGACCCCCAAATCGGGACCCCAAATCCCATCCGAGGATCCCCCCCCAACCAAGCCTTGCCACCCCACTTTGGTGTCCCCAGGGACCCTGCGGGTGTCCCCAAGCCTCCATTTGGGACCCCTTGGGGACAGACTTGTGGGTCCCCCTCCCCCCGCGTGGCACTCTGGGGGTGTCACCCTCCCCCTGGGTGTCACCCTGGGGTGACACAGGTGTCCCCAAGCCTGTGGGGACAACGCAGGCGCTGCAGGTGGCACCTGCGGGGGGGCTGGCGGGGGGTGCCACCCCCTCACCTGTGTCGCGGGGAGCTCACGTGTCCCCGCGCCCACCTGCGGCACGTGCGTGGGGACACGCGTGGGGACACGTGTGGGACACGGCGAGGGGGGGCAGGCGGGGCAGGGTGGCCGTGTGGCACACGCGGGTGACACACCTGGGCCGCGTGTGACACACCTGAGAGCGCCAGGGGACACGCGGGGGGGACACGGGGGTGTCATACGGGGGGTGTCACACGGGGGGTGGCACTGTGGGGGTGTCACACGCGTGTCCCCACGTGTCGCTCCCACACGGGGGTGACCCCTGTGTCCCCAAAGTGGGGGTGGTCCCCTCCTGAGCCCCCCCCCCCCATTTCGAGCTCCCCGAGGCCACCCTGTCACTCGTGGGGTGGCCCTGGGGACACGGTGGTCACCGGCAGGGGACACGGTGGCAGGGTGGCCCAGGGGGTGCCACCCGACAGAGTGGCACAGCCCGCCCCACCTCGTCCCCAGGAGTGACACGGGGGTCACCGAGGCAGGGGTCCCGGGGGGTGGCTGTCCCCGGGGGGGTCCCTGCGGGTCCCCACGGGGTTGGCCGGGCACGGAAGGTGACAATCGCCATCCCCAAGGTCACAGCAGCGCTGCTGACGTCGGTGCCCCCCCCGCCCCCCCCGGCCCCCCTCGCTGTCACCGTCACTGTCGCCGTGACCGTGACCGGGGGACGTGGTGGCCCCTCCCCAGCGAGTGGTGGCCGCGGTGGCCGCACGAATGTCCCCGCGCTGTCACCACCCCGGGTGTCACCACCCTGTGCCACCACCCCCCCTCCCCGTGCCGTTCCGTGCCACCTGTGCCACCCCATGTCCTGGTGCCACCCGTGCCAGCCATGCGGGGGCTGCGGGGGTGGCACTACCTGTGACCCCCTGTCCCCAACCTGGGGGGGCTGTGACCTCCTGTCCCCAACCTGGGGGGCTGTCCCCTCTGTCCCCAGCCTGGGGGGGCTGTGACCCCCTGTCCCTAACCTGGGGGGGGCTGTGACCCCCTGTCCTCAATCTGGGGGGGCTGTGCCCCCTGTCCCCAACCTGGGGGGGCTATGACCCCTGTCCCCAACCTGGGGGGGCTATGACCCCTGTCCCCAATCTGGGGGGCTGTGACCCCCCTGTCCCTAACCGGGGGGGGCTGTGACCCCCCTGTCCTTAACCTTGGGGGGGCTGTGACCCCCCTGTCCTTAACCTGGGGGGGCTGAGACCCCCTGTCCCTAACCTGGGGGGGATGTGACCCCCCTGTCCTTAACCTGGGGGGGCTGTGACCCCCTGTCTTTAACCGGGGGGGGATGTGACCCCCTGTCCCCAACCTGGGGGCTGTCCCCTCTGTCCCCAACCGGGGGGGGCTGTCACCCCCCCGTCCCCAACCTGGGGGGCTGTGACCCCCTTGTCCCCAACCTGGGGGGCTGTGACCCCCTTGTCCCCAACCTGGGGGGCTGTGACCCCCTGTCCCCCACCTGGGGGCTGTCCCTGCTGTCCCTGGGGGTCAGTGCCACCCTGTCCCCAACCTGGGGGGCTGTGACCCCCTGTCCCCAACTTGGGGGGCTGTGACCCCCTGTCCTTAACCTGGGGGGGCTGTGACCCCCTGTCCCCAACCGGGGGGGGCTGTGACCCCTTGCCCCAACCTGGGGGGGCTGTGACACCCTGTCCCCCACCTGGGGGGCTGTGACCCCCTGTCCCCAACCTGGGGGCTGTCCCTGCTGTCCCTGGGGGTCAGTGCCACCCTGTCCCCAACCTGGGGGGCTGTGACCCCCTGTCCCCAACCTGGGGGCTGTCCCTGCTGTCCCTGGGGGTCAGTGCCACACTGTCCCCGCTGTCCCCGGGGGTCTCCCACCCCTGCCCCCCCCGGGGGTCCCTAACCCCGTGTCCCCCGGGTCCCCCCCCCCCCCAGGCTGCGCTACCTGCTGAAGCAGCTCGAGTCGGGCGAGGTGAACGTGGAGGAGCTGCGGCGGAACCTGGAGTGCGCGGCCTCGCTGCTCGAGGCGGTCTGCATCGACGAGACCAGGTGCGGGACACGCGGGGACAGCGCGGGGACAGTGCGGGGACAGTGCGGGGACAGCGCGGGGACAGAGCGGGGACAGGGACAGAGCGGGGACAGGGACAGCGCGACAGGGACAGCGGGACACGCGGGGACAGCGCGGGGACAGAGCAGGGACAGCGCGGGGACAGCGCGGGGACAGCGCGGGGACAGGGACAGCGCGGGGACAGGGACAGCGCGGGGACAGTGCGGGACAGCGCGACACGTGGGGACAGCGGGACTTGCAGGGACAGGGACAGCGCGGGACAGCGCGACACGCGGGGACAGAGTGCGGACAGCGCGGGGACAACGCGACACGCGTGGCCAGCCCGGCCAGCTCCGAGCGTGGCGTGTCCCCAGGCAGGCGCTGGACAGCGAGGACGAGCTGCGGGAGATGGGCTCGGACGCGGCCGTGCCCTCCGAGGTGCGGGACTGGCTCGCCGCCACCTTCACGCAGCAGGCGCGGGCCAAGGGGCGCCGCGCCGAGGAAAAACCCAAATTCCGCAGCATCGTGCACGCCGTGCAGGCCGGCATCTTCGTGGAGAGGTGACACGCGTGGGGACACGCCGGCGGGGCGCGGCGGGGACGGGGCGGGGTCAGGGACACCCTGAGATGGCTGCAGAGGGGACAGGGACACCCCGAGGGGGGCACAGAGGGGACAGGGACACCCCGAGGAGGGCAGAGAGGGGACAGGGACACCCTGAGATGGCTGCAGAGGGACAGGGACACCCCGAGGAGGGCACAGACGGGACAGGGACACCCTGAGATGGCTGCAGAGGGGACAGGGACACCCCGAGGAGGACGTGGTGTGTCCCCAGCCCCCGGGGGTCCCCAGGGTGTCCCCAGCTCTGTCCCCCAGCCCCAGGTGTGGCCCCAGGGTGTCCCCAGCCCCAGGTGTGGCCCCAGGGTGTCCCCAGCCCCAGGGTGTCCCCAGATGTGTCCCCAGAGGTGTCCCCGGGGTGTCCCCAGGGTGTCCCCAGATGTGTCCCCAGAGGTGTCCCCGGGGTGTCCCCAGGGTGTCCCCAGATGTGTCCCCAGAGGTGTCCCCGGGGTGTCCCCAGGGTGTCCCCAGATGTGTCCCCAGAGGTGTCCCCGGGGTGTCCCCAGCCCCGGGGCTCCCCAGCCCCCCCAGCCCCCCCAGCCCTGCCTCCCCCCAGGATGTTCCGCCGGACGTACACGGCCGTGGGGCCGAGCTACTCCTCCTCCGTGCTCAACTGCCTGAAGGTACCGGGGCGCCCCAGACACCCCAAACACCCCAAAATAGCCCAAACACCCCAAAACAGCCCAAACACCCCAAAACAACCCAAACCAGCCCAAAACCAGCCCCGTAACGACCCAAAACCAACCTAAAAATAACCCCAAACACCCCAAAACAGCCCCAAACCAACCCCAAAACCCCGTGAGGCCGCTGGAAGCCACAGGGAGGCACTGGGAATGGCCGGGAATTACTGGGAATTTGGGAATCTTTGGGAAAAAACGTGGATCTCTGGAAATCTCTGAGAATTTGGGAATCAACGGGAATATTTGGGAATACATGGGAATGTCTGGGAACCACTGGGAGTATCTGGGAATCTGGAAATCAGTGGGAATATCTGAAAATCAATGGGAATCAACCTCTGGGAATCGCTGGGGTTTTACTGGGAATCTCTGGGGATCTCTGGGAATCAATGGGAATTTGGGAATCCCTGGGAATCCTCGGCTTCACTGGGGTTTTCAGTGGGAATCGCTGGGAACCTCTGGAATTCCCAGGCACCCCCCGATGTCCCCAGTGTCCCCAGTGTCCCAAATGCCCCAAGTCCCCCCGGTGTCCCCAGTGTCCCAAATGTCCCAAATGCCTCAAATCCCCCCGGTGTCCCCAGTGTCCCAAATGCCCCAAGTCCCCCCGGTGTCCCAAATGTCCCAAATGCCCCAAGTCCCCCCGGTGTCCCCCGTGTCCCCGATGTCCCCGCAGGGCCTGGACCAGTGGTGCTTTGACGTGTTCTCGCTGCACCGCGCGGCCGAGGAGCACTCGCTGCGCACGGTGGTGTTTGAGCTCTTCACCCGCCACAACCTCAACAGCCGCTTCAAGGTGTGCCCGGGACCCCAAAATATCCCAAAAACACCCCAAAATACCCTCAAAACACCCTCATAACATCAACAGCTGCTTCAAGATGTGACCCGACATCCAAAATCCCCCTAAACACCCCCAAAATCCCAAAACAGCCCCCAAACCCTCCCCAGGACACCCAAACTCCATCCCACAACCCCCTCAGGACCCCCAAAATCTACCCCAAGACCCCCCAAATCCACCCCGGGACCCCCCAGACTCCCCCAGGAGCCCTCGGGGACATCCCGGCGGTGTCACTGCGCTGTCCCCGCCGGCAGATTCCCGGCGCGTTCCTGACGGCGCTGCTGGAGGCGCTGGAGGGCGGCTACGGAAAGTTCCGGAACCCCTACCACAACCAGGTGCACGCGGCCGACGTCACCCAGACCGTGCACTGCGTCCTGCTGCGCACCGGCATGCTGGTACGGGGACAGGGACACGGACAGGGACACGGGACAGGGGACAGGGACATGGGACAGGGGACACGGGACACAGGGATATGGGGACACGGGACATGGGACACGGGACACGGGACACGGGACACGGGACAGGGACACGGGACACGGGACAGGGGACAGGGACACGGGACAGGGGACATGGGACACGGGACACGGGACACGGGACACGGGACAGGGACACGGGACACGGGACAGGGGACAGGGACACGGGACAGGGGACAGGGGATATAGGGACAGGGGACACGGGACAGGGACACGGGACAGGGACACGGGACAGGGGACACGGGACACGGGACATGGGACACGGGACAGGGACAGGGGACATAGGACAGGGGACAGGGGACACGGGACAGGGGACACGGGACAGGGGACACGGGACAGGGGACACGGGACACGGGACAGGGGACACGGGGACATGGGGACATGGGGACACAGGACACGGGACATGGGACAGGGACACGGGACAGGGGACATGGGACATGGGACACGGGACACGGGAATATAGGGACACGGGACATGGGACATGGGGACAGGGGACACGGGACATGGGACACAGGACAGGGGACACGGGACACGGGGATATAGGGACACGGGACATGGGGACAGGGGACATGGGACAGGGGACAGGGGACAGGGGACACAGGACAGGGGACATGGGGATATGGGGACATGGGGATATGGAGACATGGGGGACTGGGGACACCGGGACATGGGGACAGTCACTGAGGGTGGCACCGTGCCACCCGCCTGGTCCCCAATGCACCTGGCGGTGCTCGTTGCCGTGGGAATGTCCCCAGGGTGGCACTGGGCGTGGGGGACAGCTGGACACACACGGGGTGGCACCTGGGACGTGTCTGTGCCCAGTTGTCACATGCATGGTGGCACCCGGCCCAATCGTCCCCAGCTGGCTGCCACACGTGGGGTGGCACCTGGTGCACGTGCTGCCTGTTGTCCCCACGCTGCGGTCACGGCACACCCGGGGTGTCACATTCACGGTGGGGGTGGCCCTGTCCCCATCTTTGTCCCTGTCCTTGACTTGCTGTCCCATCCCTGTCCCTGTCACTGTCCTGTCCCTGTCCCTGTCCCTGTCCTGTCCCTGTCCCTATCCCTGTCCCATCCCTGTCCCTGTCCCCTCTGTCCCCTCTGTCCCCTCTGTCCCCTCTGTCCCCTCTGTCCCTGTCCCTGTCCCCTCTGTCCCCTCTGTCCCTGTCCCCAGCACTGTCTCTCCGAGATCGAGCTCTTGGCCATCGTCTTCGCCGCCGCCATCCACGACTTCGAGCACACGGGGACAACCAACAGCTTCCACATCCAGACCAAGTGAGGGCACAGGGTGGCACGGGTGGCATGGCATGGCACGGGTGGCACAGGAACACAGGGTGGCACGGGTGGCATGGCATGGCACGGGTGGCATGGCATGGCATGGGAACACAGGGTGGCACGGGAACACAGGGTGGCACGGCATGGCACAGAGACACAGCCGTGCTGCCACCCCTCGCTCCGGGGTCCTGTCCCCATGCCCGGTGTCCCCGTGTCCCCATGCCCGGTGTCCCCGTGTCCCCGTGCCCAGTGTCCCCGTGTCCCCGTGCCCAGGTCGGACACCGCCATCCTGTACAACGACCGCTCGGTGCTGGAGAACCACCACATCAGCGCCGTGTTCCGCCTGATGCAGGACGAGGAGCTCAACATCTTCGTCAACCTCACCAAGGATGAGTTCGCGTAAGGTCCCCCCGGCGCCATCCCCGCTGTCCCCTCGCTGTCCCCTCGCTGTCCCCTCGCTGTCCCCTCGCTGTCCCCTCACTGTCCCCTCCCGCAGGGAGCTGCGGGCGCTGGTCATCGAGATGGTCCTGGCCACCGACATGTCCTGCCACTTCCAGCAGGTCAAGTCCATGAAGACGGCGCTGCAGCAGCTGGAGAGGTGGGTGGGGGTGGCGGAGGGGGAGGTCCCCGGCCCCCGGGCGTGTCCCCAGGGTGGCTTTGGGGACAATCCGCGCGCCGGGTGCCGTCCCCAGGCTGGACAAGTCCAAGGTGCTGTCGCTGCTGCTGCACGCGGCCGACATCAGCCACCCCACCAAGCAGTGGGCCGTGCACAGCCGCTGGACCAAGGCGCTGATGGAGGAGTTCTTCCGGCAGGTAGGGCCGGGGCCGGGCGGGGGGACGCGGGGCCACCCCGTGGGGACGCCACCGATGTCCCTTGCCTTGCCAGGGGGACAAGGAGGCCGAGCTGGGGCTGCCCTTCTCGCCCCTCTGCGACCGCACCTCCACGCTGGTGGCCCAGTCGCAGATCGGTGAGTCCGGGCAGGTTCCCGTCCCCGTCCTGTCCCCGCGCTGTCCCCGCGCTGTCCCCAGCCACGCCGCGTCCCCTCCTGTCCCCAGGGTTCATCGACTTCATCGTGGAGCCGACCTTCTCGGTGCTCACCGACGTGGCCGAGAAGTTGGTGACGCCGCTGGCCGAGGACGGCTCCAAGGCCAAGGGCAACCCCACGGCCACCCAGCAGCCCAGGTGGGCGTCCCTGTCCCCCAGGCTCGTGCCCTGCGGTGGCACTGGTGGCCCTGGCCCGCTGCCAGCTGTCCCCATCGTTCCCCAGCTCGCAGTGGCGGCAGCCGTCCCTGGATGAGCACCTGGAGCTGGGGGACATCAAAGCCGACCTGGCCGGGTTCCGCTCCACCTGGACCAAGCACATCCAGGAGAACAAGCAGAAGTGGAAGGAGAGGGCAGCCAGCGGTAGGGGATGGCCACCAGGGCCACCATGGCCACTATGGCCACTACAGCCTCCAGGGCCACCATGACCACCACGGCCACTATGGCCACTATGGCCACCATGGCCACCATGACCACCACAGCCACTATGGCCACCATGGCCACCGTGACCACCATGGCCACTATGGCCACTACAGCCTCCAGGGCCACCATGGCCACCAGGGCCACCAGGGAGGGGCTGGGGACCACCGTGAGCAGCTCAGGGCTCTGTCACAGCGTCCCCAGACCGGAGGTGACACAAGTGTGGCGCAGGTGGCACAGCCTGGTGGGCAGGGGCTGTCCCCGGGGGGGGACAGGAGTTCCAGGGTGTCCCTGGTGACCCGGTGACCCGGTGACCCGGTGACCCGGTGACCCGGTGACCCCGGCCGTTCCCCCAGGCATCACCAACCAGGCATCCATCGATGAGCTGTCCCCGTCCCCGGGCGAGGAACCCGCGGCCACCGGACCCCACAGCGAGAACGGGGACGTGGAATAGCGGCGGGAGGAGAGAGGTGGGGACACCGGGAGGGGTGGGGACACCGGGAGGGGAATGGGGACACTGGGATGGGAGTGGGGACACCGGGACGGGAGTGGGGACACGGCGGTGACTTTCCTCTGCCAGCAGGTCCTTGTCTGACCCAGTGACACCGTCTTGTCTTCGATGCCATCGAATTCAGCACCATCCGCAGGGCAGGAGCCCCCGGGCCGGGCTCGGACCGGTGTCACCGCCGTGCCAGGACCGGTGTCACCTCTGTGCCAGGACCGGTGTCACCGCCGTGCCAGGACCGGTGTCAGCGCCGTGCCAGGACCGGTGTCACCCCCGTGCCAGGACCGGTGTCACTGCCGTGCCAAGACCGGTGTCACCGCCGTGCCAAGACCGGTGTCACCGCCGTGCCAGGACCGGTGTCACCCCCGTGCCAGAATCGGTGTCACCTCTGTGCCGGGAGCCCCCCGGGCTGTCCCCTCTGTCGCCGGTGCCACCGGTGCCTCACTGCCACCCCCGGCCCCCGCCGGGCTCGGTCCTTCGGGATTTTTAGAAACGCTTTTCCCGCTCGGGAGGGGCTGGGGCGGGGACGGTGGCGCTGGGGACAGCCCGGGGGGACACGATGGCACCGCCAGGGCCACCGAGATCCCCTCGGTGCCCGCGGGGTCTGGCTGGTGACACCGTGAGGGTGGCACTGTGCCCTGTCCCCATCCCGCCCGGGGACGGGGACAGGGACGGGGACAAGAGAGGGACAGGCGGGGGACAGGAGAGGGGACAGGGACAGGGATGGGGACAGGAGGAGGGGACAGGAGAGGGGACAAGGACAGGGACAGGGGAGGGGACAGGAGAGGGGACAGGGACAGGAGAGGGGACGAGGACGGGGACAGGAGACAGGCAGAGGGGACAGGGGAGGGGACAGGGCCAGGTGGCCCTGGGGACAGGGAGCGGCGGGGACAGGGACAGATCCCGCTCCGGTGTCCCCCGGCTCCAGCACCGGAATGTCCCCGCTTCCTGCGACATCCGGAGAGTGCTCGGGAATGTTCGGGAATGTTCGGGAATGTTCGGGAATGATCCCAGACCCCGCTCCAGCCGCCTCGGGACCCCAGAATGTTTGGGGCATCCCAGAATGTTTGGGGCACTCTTGGGATTCTCAGAATGTTTGGGGCATCCTCGGGAATCCCGGAATGTTTGGGGAACCCCGGAATGTTTGGGGCACCCTCCGGCCCCGCCCCGTGCCTTGGGAACCCGCGCGCATCCCGGAGCATCCCCGGCAGCATCCCGGATCATTCCTGCCCGGGAATTCCGGATCATTCCTGCCCGGGAATCCCGCAGGATCCCGGATCATTCCTGCCCGGGAATCCCGCAGGATCCCGGATCATTCCTGCCCGGGAATCCCGCAGGATCCCGGATCATTCCTGCCCGGGAATCCCGCAGGATCCCGGATCATTCCTGCCCTGGAATTCCGGATCATTCCTGCCCGGGAATCCCGCAGGATCCTGGATCCACCCTCAGGAACGTTCCAGGATCCTGAATCCAGGTTTGGGATCTTCCAGGATCCTGGATCCAGCCTCGTGAACATTCCAGAACCCCGGATCCGATCTTGGGATCTCCGAGAATCCCAGATCCAGCCCTGGGAATGTTCCAGAATCCCAGATCCAGCCCTGGGAATGTTCCAGAATCCCAGATCCAGCCTTGGGAATCTCCAGGATCCCAAATCCACCCTCGGGAATGTTCCAGAATCCCGGATCCGCTGCCCCTTGAGCACAGCCCCACCCTCATCCCGACATCCTGGATTCCCTCCGGCTGCCCCGTGTCTGCCCTGAGCCCTGGGAATGTTCCGGAACGTCCCCGGGAATGCTCAGGAATGTTCTGGAACATCCCCGGGAATGCTCAGGAATGTTCCGGAACGTCCGGACCATTCCCTCCACCCCCGGCCCCTCCCACTCCGGCCCTGGCTCGGCGCCCCCCCCGCGTTTGTATTTTTGTACCCCGTGTCCCCAGCCTGTCCCCCCCGTGTCCCCCCCCTCATGTCCCCTCTGTGTCCCACCTTTGTCCCCTCCATGTCCCCCCCGCCCCCCCGTATTTGTATTTTTGTACCCCGTGTCCCCTACCGTGTCCCCCGGTGTCCCCTCCCGTGTCCCCCCCCAGTGTCCCCCTCTGTGTCCCCTCCCGTGTCTCCCCGTGTCCCCCCCCGTGTCCCCTCCCCTGTCCCCCCGTGTCCCCTTCCGTGTCCCCCCCTCGGCCACCACTGCCAGAGCTCCTGCCCGCCCCCCCCGCATGTGTCCCCCCCGCGCCGCCGCTAACGAGCAATTCATTAATTAATTAATGAGTTAATTAATAAATGCCGCCGCCACCACCACGGCCGCGCTCCGGCCCCTGAGGGGGGGCGGGGGGGGGGGGCAGAATTGGGGGGGGGGGGCAGAACCCGGGATGGGATGTCCCCAAAGGGGGTCCTGGAGCCCCCCGGCACCCAAAAGGGGTCTCGGGTCTTACTGGGGGGTCCTAGAACCCTCCCCCGGCCCCCAAAGGGGGTTCTGCAGCCCCCCCCCCCAACCCCAAAAAAAGGATCCTGGACCCCCCCAGACCCCAAAAGGGTTTTGGACCCCCCACCCCAAAGAGGGGATCCCCCCCCCCCCCGGCGCAGCCCACGCAGGAGGCGGGGGGGGGGAAAGGTTCCCTTTAATTCCGGCTGGGGGGGTCCCCGCGCCCCCCCCCGTGTCCCTGTCCCCACCCCCCACCCCCCCCCGTGTCCGTGTGCACGCGCGTGTCCCTGTCCCCTCCCCTGTCCCCTCCCCTGTCCCCTCCCCGTGCTCAGGTGTCCCCCCAGGTGTGCACAGGTGGGGGGGGGGGGCCCAGGGGACACCCCGAGGGTGGCAGTGATGGGGGGGGGGGGCGTGGGCTCGGTGTGCCCAGTGTCACCTGCCCTGGGGACCCGGGGGTGGCACTTGTCACCTGCCCTGGTGACCCCGAGGGGCTGGTAGTGGGGGTGGGGGGCACGCAGGGTGTCACTCAGTGTCCCCAGGGTCACCCGTGGGAATAAAAAAAATAAATAAAAAAATTAAAAAATAAATAAAATAAAATAAAATAAAATAAAATAAAATAAAATAAAATAAAATAAAATAAAATAAAATAAAATAAAATAAAATAAAATAAAATAAAATAAAATAAAATAAAATAAAATAAAATAAATAAAATCCCCAAATCGTTCTGGGCAACCCCAAAATCTTAGAAAATGGAATAAAAAAGTCTCTGCTGGCATCAGGCAGCTGCGGCCACACCTGGGGACAAGGGACAGCGCTGGGCACTGGGGAGGGGACACCCCTGTCCCTGTGCCAGCAGTGCCACCCTGGCCCTGCCACTGTCCCCGTCCCTGGAGAGTGGCGGGAGTGTCCCAGTGACTCCCGGGGACATTCAGGGACACCCGTGACACCCCACTGCTGGCCCAGGGACACCCCAGTGACACCCCAGTGACACCCCAGTGACATCCCAGTGCTAGCCCAGTGACATTCCAAAGTCCCAGCGTCCCCAATGTCCCCAGTGGCCCCTGCACCCCCAATGTCCCCAATCCCCCCAATGTCCCAAATGCCCCCAGCACCCCCAGTGGCCTCAATGTCCCCAATGTCCCCAATTCCCCCAAAGCCCCCACTGTCCCCAGTGTCCTCACTGTCCCAAATCCCCCCAATCCCCCAGCAGCCCCGGTGTCCCCAGCACCCCCGGTGTCCCCAATCCCCCAGCACCCCCGGTGTCCCCATTGTCCCCAGCAGCTCCGGTGTCCCCAGCATCCTCGGTGTCCCCAGTGTCCCCAGCTCCCCGGTGTCCCCATGTCCCCAGCCGTACCTAGTGGCCGCTGCCCGCGCTGTCCCCAGCCTCTATGTGGGTCCCGTCCTCGGCCCGGCCGCGCCGCGCGGTCCCGGGGGTCCCGGCCCGAGGGGTCCCGGTTTGGGGGGTTCCGGCCCGGGGGGTCCCGGTTTGGGGGGTGCCATCCCCGGGTGTCCCTGCGGGTGTCCCTGCGGGTGTCCCAGCACAGGGGTGACCCCAGAGCCCCCCGGCACCCCCGAAGCCCCTCCCGCCCCCCGACTCACGGTGGCCGCCCTGGGCGGGGCAGGAGCCGCCGGGGCTGTGCCGGTGCCCGGGCTCGCCGCGGGGGCAGCGGGCGGCGGCCGCCGCCTCCTCCTCATCCTCGGGGCCCTGCGGCTGCTGGCACAGGTGGTGCTCCACCATCATCTGCAGCTCTGCGGGCAGCGAGCGGCGCTGGGGGCGCGGGGGGGGGGTCCCGGTGACCGGCCCCGCGCTCCCGGTGGCGCCGCGGCCGCGCCCCGGTGGCCTCGGGGCGGCGCGGGGCGAGGCCAGCGCGGGGTGGGGCGGGGGGACATCTCTGGCCACCCGTTAACCGCGGTGCTGGGGGGGCTGTCACCGCCCCGTGTCCCCCCGGTGTCCCCCCGGTGTCCCCCCGTGTCCCCCCGTACCTTTCATGGTGGGGGTGCTCCTGGCCACCTTCTTCCTCTGCCGGGGGGACATGGCCAGGCCGGACTGGGGGGACAGCGTGGCTCAGGGGGGGTCCCCCAGCATTGGGGGGTCCCCCCTGTCCCCCCGTGTCCCCCGTGTCCCCCCGGCAGTGTCACCCACCTTCAGCAGGGGGTTGGGCAGCCGGTCCTCGTCGATCTCTGGGGTGGGGGGGCAGGAGGTCAGCAAAGGGTGGGGGTCTCATCCTGCGCCCCCCCAGGTCAATCCGGCCCCATGGGGGGGTCTCTGTCCCCTGGGGGTGTCATGGGGACAGTGCCACCACCCCCCACCCCCCCCTTCATTGCCACGGGGATTTGGGGTCTCACCCCCCCATGTGTGGGGGTCCTGAGCAATGGGGGGGGGGGTTCTGGAATGTGGGGAGGGGAGCTGAGTATCATTGGGGGTCGCTGAGCATTTTTGGGGGGTCCCTGAGCACGTGGAGGGTTCTCTGAGTCATTTAGGAGGTCCCTGAGTGTCATTGGGGGGTTCCTGGGCATGTCTGGGGGGTCCTGCTGGAAAATGGGGGTGTCCCTGACCCCGCTGGGGTGTTGCCTGAACACATTTGGGGTCCCTGAGCCCCTTGGGGGGGTCCCCGAGTGCTCCGGGGTGCCCCTGGGTGGGAGGGCCCGGGGGTGACGTGGGGACACCGCTCGGACCCACCTGGGGACGATTGGTCACTGCTCAGGACAAGGTTGGCCGGAGTCGGCCGACGCCGCCGGATCTGGGGGGCAGAGGAGAGAGCTGGGACCCCCAACTGGGACCCCAAACTGGGACCCCGAACTGGGACCCCGAACTGGGACCCCGAACTGGGACCCCAAACTGGGACCCCCAACTGGGACCCTCGGACCCCCAACTGGGACCCCGAACTGGGACCCCAAACTGGGACCCCAAACTGGGACCCCAAACTGGGACCCTCGGCCGTGCCCCGGCCCCGCTGCCCCAAACCCGCCGTGTCCCCGAGCCCGGGGCGGTGGCGGCCCCTGGGGACAGCGGTGGCCGGACACGCGTGGCTTTTCCATCCGGAGCTGATTGTACCCGCGTGGGGACAGCGACACGGGGACAGCGACACGGGGACAGCGGCGGGGCCCTGCCCTTCCTCCGCGGCCGCTGTCCTTGCCCAAGGTCACCTGGAGCCTTGGGGGGGTTGGTGGCCGCGGAGTGGCCGCGGTGGGGACCGTGGGGACAGCGGTGGGGACCGAGGGGACAGCGGTGGGGACCGAGGGGACAGCGGTGGCCGAGGGGACAGCGGTGCCCGAGGGGACAGAAGTGGCCGAGGGGACGGCGGTGGCCGAGAGGACAGCGGTGGCCGTGGGGACGGCGGTGGCCGAGGGGACAGAAGTGGCCAAGGGGACAGCTGTGGCCGAGGGGACGGCGCTGACCCCGCGCCCCCTTTCCCCGCTGACCCAGTAACTGAGCGCCGCCGGAAGATGGATTTCCCGGCGAGGATTCCCTAATGAGGCGGGCTGCCTAATGAGATGCTAATGAGATGCTAATGAGGCGGGCGAGCGGCCGGGAGCTCCGCACGTCCCGCGGCCCCTGCCCACCCCCGGCCCGGCGCATCCTCCCGAGCCGGGCCCGTTGCCGTGGAAACGCGGCTGGATGTTCAACGGGGATTAACGGGAACCGGGAATCGCCGGGAATCGCCCCGGCCCCGCCGGCCGCCCACGGGCGACCCCCCCACTTTGGGGCCGGGGTCCCCCCGTCCCCCCCCCCTCACCCCCCACCCCGCGATGGGGCCGGGAGGGTTCGGGGTCCCCCCGAGGCCCCGCAGCTCCGGGAGGGACCCCGCGAAGCCGCGGCCCCCCCGGGACGCTGCCGCCCCTCCGGAGCCCCCCGGGGGTGCGGGGCGAGGCCGTGCCCCCCCCTCAACACCCCCGGGCGCGCCCCCCGGGGCGGGGATGGGGAGGGGACAGCGGCGCCACCTGCTCAAGGTGACCCAGGTGGAGCCGAGCGCCGCCGGCTGAGCCGCCCCCTCCCCTAATTCCGGGGGTCCGGGGAGGGCGGGGGGATCCCGGCGCTGCTCCGGGGAGGGGATGCGCTGGTCCTCCCCCCCCGCCGCTCCCTCCCTCCCTCCGTCCGTCCTCCCCTCCCTCCTCCCTCCTCCATCCCCCATCCCTCCTCCATCCCTCCATCCCTGCCTCCCTCCCGCCGCTATTTTTAGATCAATCTCCAGCATCGATTAAGGGCGAGCGGCGCGATCCGGGGGCAGCGGGGACGGGGCCGCCTCCGGCACCGGGAGCGGCACCGGGAGCGGCACCGGGAGCGGCACCGGGCGGGAGCGGGAGGGGCCCGGCTCGGTTCGGCTCGGCCCGGTCCAGCAAAACCCCCCCGGGATGGTCCCCGCGGCCCCGGGGACACGCGCGGGGGGAGTTGGGGACACGGGCAGAGTGCGGGACAAAGGCCTGGGCCGGGCCTGGCACCGGGGGGCACCCGGGGGGCAAACGGGGGGGCAAACGGGGGGCTCGGCTGAGATGGGGGTCAGGGGGCTGCCGGACCTGCGGCGGGGACACGGGAGGGACACGGGGGGGACACGGGGGGGACACGGGGGGGACGAGGTCCTTCGGGAGGGTGGGGCTGGACAGCTTTGGGGACGGCCCCGCAGGACACAGGGACACCGCGGTGCCACCCAGAGAGGGGTGGCACGGCCGAGCCCCCCATCGCTGCGAGGGGACACCCCAAAAAGAGGAGCAGGGAGGGGACATCGGCAGTGTCACCTGCTGCCACCGCACGGGGCCAGGGTCGCCCCCGGCTCAGGGCCCTGAGAGGCGGCGGGTGAGACCCCCCTAGGAGGGGAAACTGAGGCAGGGCAGGGGGGTCCCCGGGCTGGGCAGTGCCCGAGCCCCCGAGCCCGGCTCCGATGGGGACGGGGCTGGGGGTGTCCCTTGTGGGTGCTGGGGGGCTCGTGCCCCCCTCCCCCGCCGGTCTCCCTCTCCCTCCTGGGGACCCCCAAACTCTCCCCCTCCCTCCTGGGGACCCCCAAACTCTCCCCCTCCCTCCTGGGGACCCCCAAACTCTCCCCCTCCCTCCTGGGGACCCCCAAATTCTCCCCCTCCCTCCTGGGGACCCCCCGCTGCTGTCACCGAGCCGGGTGGTGGCCCCAGATGGGCACAGGCGGTGACAGCGCCACACTCGGCCCCGCTCCGCTGGCACCGGGGGGTCCTGGCCCCCCACCCCCAGGACTCCCAGCTGGGGGGACATGGAAGGGACCCCCCCTCTTCTCCTCACCCCCTCAAGCCCCCGCGGTGGGGCCGAGGGGTCTCCCCAGAGCCCCCCTGTCCCCTGCAGCCCCCGGGGCCGGGGAGGGGTGGCAGGAGGGGCTCGGGGTGCCCGGGGGTCCCCGGCCGCGTCCCCGCGGGGTCACCCCGTGCCCGGGGCCGTACCGGGACCGGCTCTGACGGGAGCAGGGCCCGGGGGTCCCGGGGTGGCCCCGGGGTGGCCCCGGTGGCGTCGCGCAGAGCCGGCACATGGCCCTGGCACTGCCACCCCCCGCCCCACGGCCCCGCGGGGCTCCGGGGACAGCGGCGGCCGCTCCGCGCGGGTGGCCCCGGCACCGGGAGGCTGCAGCCTCCTGTCGCCGCTGTCCCCGCGTCACCCCCGGCCCCGGCGGTGCCACCCCCGCGCCCCCAGCCCGGGCCGTGCCCCCGCCGTGCCCGCAGCCCTCCGGAGCCCGCCCGGCTCGCTCCTCCGCGCGGCCCCGGTGCCGCCCCGGTGTCCCCCCGGTGCCGCCCCGGTGTCCCCCCGGTGTCCCCGCGGTGTCCCCCCGGTGTCCCCGCACCTGCTCGGCCGCCTCCGGGTCCAGGTGCGGCTCCAGCAGCGGGACCGTGAACTGGATCTTGCGGGGGCTGTTGGGCTCCATCGCGGGCGCGGCGGCTCCGGCGGCTCCGGCGGCTCCGAGCGGCCACGCCCCGGCCACGCCCCGGCCACGCCCCGGCCACGCCCCGGCCACGCCCCGGCCACGCCCCGCGGGGGCCGCGCCTCAACCCGGGCCCCGCGCGCGGGACACGGGGATGGACAGAGGGACACGGGGAGGGACAGAGGGACATAGGGACGGACACAGGGACACGGGGATGGACACGGGGATGGACACACAGACAGGCACAGGGATACACGGACAGATACAGGGACACGGGGATGGACAGAGGGACGGACAGAGGGACACGGGGATGGACAGAGGGACACGGGGACACGGGAATGGACACACAGACAGACACAGGGATACACGGACAGACACAGGGACACGGGGATGGACAGAGGGACATGGGGATGGACAGAGGGACACAGGGACGGACACGGGGACACGGGGATGGACAAGGGGACATGGGGACAGGGCTTGGGACAGCAGGACGGACACGGGGACAGACACGGGGACACGGGGACGGACACACAGACAGGCACAGGGATACACGGACAGACGCAGGGACACGGGGACAGACACAGGAACACGGGGACAAACGCACAGACAGGCACAGGGACACACGGACAGGCACAGGGATGGACCCTGGGACATGGGGACAGACAAACAGACACAAGGACAGACTCGGGGACACTGGGACAGACATGGGGACAGGAGGATGGACACACAGGCCCTGGGACAGACACACAGACCGTGGGAGGGACATGGGGACATGGCGGGGGGACATGGACAGCCCTAAAGGGACATCCTGGGAGAGACAGGGATGGGGACAGGGACAGGGACGGGGACAGGGACAGGGACAGGGACGGGGACAGGGACAGGGACAGGGACAGTGTGGGGCAATGGCACCATCGATCCCCCCTGTCTCCAGGACAAGGGGACAAGGCCAGCGCTTGGGGACTGTCCCAGCAGAGCCCGGACACATGGGGGACACCCCCAAACCCCTAAACCGGCCCATTTAAGAGTGGGGCTGGGAGGGCTTTGGGGCAGGAGGAGTTTGGGGACTGGGGGGGCTGTGGGGCCCGGGGCTGTTGCGGGGCCGGGGGGTTGCGGGGCCGGGGGGCTGCGGGGCCGGGGGGTTGTGGGGCTGGGGGTTTGTGGGGCCGGGGGTCTTTGTGGGGCCGGGGGGTTGCGGGGCCGGGGGGTTTGGAGGGCCGGGGGGTAACGGGGCAGAGTTTTGCAGGGCCGGGGGGTTTGTGGGGCCGGGGGCTGCGGGGCCGGGGGGTTGTGGGTCCGGGGGCTGCGGGCCGGTGCCCCCCCGCGCAGCCCCATCACTTATTCATGGAGCCGGAGCCCGGGCGGCTGCGGGATCTGCCGGCAGGAATCCGCTAAGTAGGTCAGGAGGGGGGGGCCCGCCCGAGCCCCGCCGAGCCCCCCCGCCAGCACCGGGGGTCCCGCCCGAGCCCCCCCGCCAGCACCGGGGGTCCCGCCCGAGCCCCCCCGCCAGCACCGGGGGTCCCGCTGAGCCCCCCCGCCAGCACCGGGGGTCCCGCCCGAGCCCCCCCGCCAGCACCGGGGGTCCCGCCCGAGCCCCCCCGCCAGCACCGGGGGTCCCGCCCGAGCCCCCCCGCCAGCACCGGGGGTCCCGCCCGAGCCCCGCCCGAGCCCCCCCGCCAGCACCGGGTGTCCCGCCGAGCCCCCCCGCCAGCACCGGGTGTCCCGCCCGAGCCCCCCCGCCAGCACCGGGGGTCCCGGGGGGGCACAGGGGCAGCGCTGGGGTCGGGATAAAGGTGCTGGTGGTTTTGGGGGAGGGGGATCCCCAGCTTTGGACCCCCCCAAAAGTCCGGCTTGACGCCCCCAGCCCCACCCCGATGATCCCCGGGAATTTTTGGTGGGAAAGGCCCCCCCATCCTCCCCTCCCCGCAGCCCCCCCGAGGGAACGGGGGGTGGGGGTGGGACTGAGGGGACACCGGGGGGGTTGTGCTGGGCTGGGACCCCCCCGGTGGCTGCCAGGGAGTGACAGCGGCCAGGCCCTGGTGGCACTGAGGGTCCCCTGGCTGTGCCACGGCACGGGGACACCCTTGGGGACATCTTGGGGACACCCATGGGGACACCCTTGGGGACATCTTGGGGACATCTTGGGGACACCCTTGAGGATATCTTGGGACGTTCTTGGGGGCATCCTTGGGGACATCTTGGGGACACCCTTGAGGATATCTGGGGACGTTCTTGGGGGCATCCTTGGGGACACACTGGGGGCCAGCCGTGTGCAGGGTGTGACAGGGGGGACAGGACGGGGCCAGCGAGGGGCGAGGCCGGAGGGATCAGTCCAGGGCTGTGTCCGTCCCTCCTGGGGGTCTGTCCGTCCTTCCAGGGCTCTTCCCGTTCTCCCGGTGGTTCTCCCACCCTCCCGGGGGTGTTCCCGTCCTCCCGGGTGCTGCCCCCCCGCCCGGGCCGGCTGGGGGAACGTTTAATTCGGGGCTTTATCCACAAACACTCCCGGGCTAAAAATATCCCGCCGGAGCCGCTTTGCCTTTTTTGACGGGATCCCGGCCGGGGCAGCGCCCGCGGCTCCCGCTCGGTGCCAGTTGTGCCACCTGGATCCGGGGGACACAAGGCCTGGGGACCCGGATCCGGGTGTCCGGAGCCTGGGAATTCCAGATCCTGGGAATTCCAGATCCTGGGATCCCCAGATCCTGGAGATTTCACATCCTTGGAATTCCAGATCCTGGAGATTTCACATCCTGGGAATTCCAGCTCCTGGGCTCCTCAGCTCCTTGGAATTCCAGCACTTGGGATCCCCAACTCCTAGGAATTCCAGCTCCTGGGGGATCCAATTCCTGGAGAATTCAGCTCCTGGGGTCCCAAACTCCTGGGAATTCCAGCTCCTGGAGATTCCAGCTCCTCGGGGACCTGTTGGAATGGACGAGGGGCCAGGGGGGCACCTCAGTGGCCGTGAGGTGAGTGCTGTCCCCGCTCTGGGGATGTCCCTGTCACTTGGGGACACCTTGGGAGGGTTGGGGACACCTCGGGAAGGTTTGGGACACCTCAGGAAGGCTGGGGACCCCCTGGGGGGGCCGGGGACCCCTCGGGAGGGCCGGGGACCCCTCAGGAGGGCCGGGGACCCCCGGGAAGGTGGCAGGGGGTGCCCGGGCCGCCCTCAGCCCCCGCTGGGGTGGCACAGAGCTTTTCCCGCGGCACTGGCGGATGTGGGGCAACGTTTGAGGTTCGGGCTGGTGATTTTTGTTTTTAATTTTTTTTAATTTCCTCTTCCAAGCCGATGAGTTTCCTCCCGCTCCGCTGACGGATGGGGGCCGGGCGGGGCGCCGGGGGGGCCGGAGGCCGCTGCCCACGGGCCCCGGCCGGCCGGAGGGAGCTGCCCGGTGGGCCCCGGTGCCGGTCAGTGCCCGGGGAACCGGGACTGGGGTGGAGGGACGCGAGGGGACGGAGCTGGGCGGGCACGAAGGGACGGGGCCGGGGGGTTGGGGGCACCGGGAGAGGCGATTCCAGCGCCCGCAGCTGCGGGGAAACACAGCGGGAGGGGCAGGGGGTGAGGAGGAGGAGGAGGAGGAGGATGAGAAGGTTGAGGAGGATGAGAAGGTTGAGGAGGATGAGGAGGACGAAGAGGGTGAGGAGGATGGGGCTGGGGGTGCCCGCGGGGTGGGCGAGGGGCGTCCCCTGCCCCGGGGAACGACCGGACCGGGCCGGTCCCGTGCTCGGGGGATGGCCGGGCTGGGACATTCCCGGTGGGAATCTCGTCCCGGGGGGGTCCCCGGGATATCCGCACCCCTCGCTCCGCCTCCTGGGGCAGCTCCACGCGGTTATCTCGGCCCCGCATCTCTTCCGCCCCTCCGGCAGCTCCGGCAGCCCCGGGCCCGTCCCACTGCGCCCCTCGGTGCCCATTGGCACCGGGAAATCGCCTGCGAGGGGGCGGAGAACCCCCGGGATGGCCCGAGCCCACCCAGGGATGGCCCGAGCCCACCCTGGACTGCCCTGAGCCCACCCTGGGATGTCCCAAACCCACCCTGGGATGTTCCAAGCCCACCCAGGGATGACCCAAGCCCACCCTGAACTGCCCCAAGCCCACCCTGAACTGCCCCAAGCCCACCCTGGGCACCTGCCCGTGGAACCCCCGGTGGCCCCCGCACCCCGCGGTCCCTCACGCCCCCCTCCCGTCCCCGCTGTCCCCGCAGGGCCCCCCCCGGCCCCCCGGCCCTGGAGGGCACCTCGGTTCTCGGCCCCTGCTCGTGGCAGAGCCGCGGCTGGCGCAGCCCCGCGGGGCAGGAGCAGGAGGAGGAGGAGGAGGAGGAGGAGGAGGAAGAGCAGGAGGTGGCCGCTGTCCCCGGGGAGCCGCCACAGCCCGACCCCGCTGTCCCGGCAGGTCAGGGCCAGGGTGGGACGTGGGAGGGACCCCCGGGCCTGGTCCCCTCACGGGCCTTTGTGTCCCCCCGGGCGGCCTCGGCAGCGGGTGAGGGACCCCCGGGGGTCTCGGGGGGGTTGGGGGTCCCTGGGGTTGGGGATGTGCTGAGGAGACCCAAAAATGAGCAGAGGCACCGCCTGTGCCCTGCGTGTCCCCACCATGCTCTGCTGTCCTGTGCCACCTCCGGTCCCCGGGATGGGCTTGGGGGTCAGGCTCGGGGTCAGGAGTCGGGGTCAGGGGTCAGGGGTCGGGGTCGGGGTCAGGGGCTGTGACCAGGGCCGTGCTCTGGCACAGGGCGGCAGCACCGGACGAGCCGGGATTGCCGGGACCCTGCGGTACGTCAGCTTTGTCACCTCGCTGTCCCCAAGGGCCACGCGGTGGTGGCCCCGGGGGTCCCCGGAGGTGTCACAGAGTGTCCCCTCCCTGTCACAGCGTGTGGCAGCAGCGGGACGAGCCTCGAGCATGAGCTGACCCCGGGAGCTGAAGGTACCGGGGCCACCGCCACGGCCCGAGGGGACAGCGGGGATGGGGACAGAGGGGATGGGGACAGAGGGGATGGGGACAGAGGGGATGGGGACAGCAGGGCCGGGGACAGCCACCAGCAGCTCCTCCAGGAGGGGTTCGGTGTACTGGGGCTGTCCCCAAGCTCTGTGTCCCCCCGGAGCTGTGACAAGAGCGGGACGTGTCCCCAAAGCAGCGCGAGTCACCCGCTGTTGTCCCCCCGCTCCTTTTTCCAGCTCTGCCGCTCCCGGGGAGCCCCCAGGCCGCGGGCAGGTGAGATTTGGGGTTCCGGGGGAGGCTGGCGGGGCGGGGGACACTGTCCCCGTGTGTCCCTCTGGCAGTGTCCCCTCCCCAGTAGGGCTCACCGGGACTGGCGGCTCAGCCCTGGTGACAGCATGGCCATCAGTGTCCCCTGCGGTGTCCCCTCCGGTGTCCCCTCCGGTGTCCCCTGCGGTGTCCCCAGCAGCTCCAGGTAGGCGCAGGCCGCTCGGGGGACCCCGGCCCGGTGTCACCGGTGTCACCGCCGCGGGGCTGAGGCGGGGCTGTCCCCTCCCGCAGCCTGGCCGAGGTGCTGGCCTGGTGGCAGTCGGACGCCGAGGAGATCCTGCACGGCCTGGGCTTCGTGGGGAGCGAGGCGGGGGTCGCGTCCCGTGTCCCCCCGCGCTTCTTCTCGGCCCCGTCCCGCGCCAGCGGCATCGACCTCGGGCTCTTCCTGCGGGCCCAAGTGCGGCGCCTGGAGATGGAGGACCCGTGTCTGCTGCTGGCCAGTGCGTGACACCGCTGTCCCCACTGTCCCCTTGCTGTCCCCGGTGTCCCTGCTGTCCCCTCTGGCCCCGCTGTCCCCGCTGTCCCCGCTGTCCCCGCTGTCCCCGCTGTCCCCTTGCTGTCCCCTCTGTCCCCCCGTGTCCCCGCTGTCCCCGCTGTCCCCGCTGTCCCTGGCTGTCCCCGCTGTCCCCTGCTGTCCCCCCTGTCCCCGCTGTCCCCACTGTCCCCGCTGTCCCCCTCTGTCCCCTCTGTCCCCGCTGTCCCCCGCTGTCCCCTCTGGCCCCGCTGTCCCCCGCTGTCCCCCACTGTCCCCGCTGTCCCCCAGCTGCCCTCTGTCCCCGCTGTCCCCTCTGTCCCCCAGCCGCCCTCTGGCGCGGATGGGAAACCGCTGCCGTGCCTCAGTTTCCCCGGGCGGGAACTGGGGGGACCCTCCCAGCCCCGGGGGACCCTCCCAGCCCCGGGGGACCCCCCCAGCCCCCCTCCCCGAGCCCCCTGACCCCCCATGTCCCCGCAGGTCGCTTCCAGCAGCTCCAGGCCCTGGCTGCCACCGCCGACGCTTTCTTCTGCCTCTACTCCCGAGTGTCGCGGACCCCCCCGCAGCGCATCGCCCCCCCCCGGCCCTGTCGCGACATCCCCGTGTCGCGACCCGGGCAGCGCCTGAAGCGCGCGGTGTCCTCGCTGTGCCTCTGCACGGGGGGGGGACACGGCGACATCCCCCGGGGGGCGACCCCCGGTCCCCGCGGCGCCCCGGGCACGGGCGGTGCCCCCGGGGGCTGCCGGGGGGACGGTGACACCGGGCGGTGCTGGCGGTCCCCGAGGCCACCCCCGGCCTGGGGACACCCCGAGCGCGGCCGGGGGGTTCGGGGGCGCGGGGGGGCTCCGTGCCCGGCGATGGCAGCGCGGGGGGACACGGGGGACACGCGGGGCGATGTCACCGTGTCCCCCCCACGCGCCAGCAGGGTCGGGGTCACCCCCGAGCGCCCCGCGGGGCCGCGACCCCCCGGGAGGGTCCCCGCGACCCCCGAGCCCCCGGGAGCGGCGGAGTCCTCGGAGCTGGAGGAGGTGAGGAGGAGGAGGAGGAGGAGGAGGAGGAGGAGGAGGAGGGGGAGGAGGAGGAGGGGGAGGAGGAGGAGGGGGAGGAGGAGGAGGAGGAGGAGGAGGAGGAGGAGGAGGGGGAGGAGGAGGAGGAGGAGGAGGAGGAGGGGGAGGAGGAGGAGGGGGAGGAGGAGGAGGAGGAGGAGGAGGAGGGGGAGGAGGAGGAGGGGGAGGAGGAGGGGGAGGAGGAGGAGGGGGAGGAAGGCCCCCCGGCCGGCGCGGGGAAGGAGCCGGAGCGGGAAATGTCCCCGGAGCTCCTCCGGCTTTTAAGGTTTAAATGATTCAGAGGCTCGGGCGGGGCCGGGCCGGGGGGAGCCGCGGGCGCAGTCACGCACAGGCCGGGCCGGGTCACGCGTGGGGACACGAGGGACACGCGGGGGCGGTGCCACACCTTTGTCGCCGCAGCGGTGACACGCTCAGCCCCGCACCCACCCCCTTCCCCCGCAGGTGCTGAGCGAGGAGGAGGAGGACGATGATGATGATGATGAGGAGGATGATGATGATGTTCCCCATCTCCCCGTCAGGATCCCAAGGAGTGAGTTGGGGTCTTCCCTGCCCTCCTGGGGGGCACAGCTGCCTGGTGCCACCGTGTCCCCTCCATGTCCCCTCCGTGTCCCCCTGCAGGCTCCACGCTCCGCGGGCGCTCCGGCAGCAGCGGCTTCAGGCAGGAGCCGCTCCCCACCTCGGCACCCCCGGCCCCGACTGGGTGACCGGAGGCCACCTCAGGAGGAGGTGGCACCTTGGCCGGGTGTCCCACGGACGTTTTGGACACGCGTGTGACACGTGTGCGTGTGTGGGTGTGCACGTGTGGCTGTTTGGCACAGGAAAACCTCCGGGCCTCGGGATTTTGGCCCAGTTTTGGTCCCTCCCTCGTCCCCCGGCCCTGTGGCCCGCTCGGGGCCTGCAGCGGGGACGTGTCCCCAACCCTTGGGAACGTGTCCCCAACCCTTGGGGGACGTGTCCCCAGCCCTTGGGAATGTGTCCCCAACCCTTGGGAACGTGTCCCCAACCCTTGGGGACGTCACTTGCACTTTGGTCGCTTGCACTAGAGGGGGGTGGGGACACAATAAAGTCCCTGAAGGGATGACGGTGGCTTTGTCTCTGCTGGGGGGTGGCATCCCATCCCCGTTCCCGTCCCTGTCCCCGTCCCCGATCCTGTCCCCATTCCCATTCCAGCCCTGGCTCTGCCCAGCCCTGACTTGGCCCAGGAATAAACCCGGGATTAGCTGGGAGAGCCTGGAGGGGGCTGTGGACACCGGAGCTGAGCTCAGGGACCACCCCTGGGGATGTCACCCACCCCTGGGGATGTCACCCATCCCTGGGACACGCAGGGCCGGTCACATCCCACTGGGAACCAGACTGGGACAGGGATGGGGTTGGGGACACGCTGGGACATCTTCCTTCAGCTCTCCACGGGGAGATCAGCAGCTCCAGCACATTCCATGGACACCTTGGAGCCCGCGGTGCTTCCCAGGAGGGTTTTAGGGGGATTTTGGGCCCATTTAGGATTAATCAATCAGCTGGGATGAGGAACTTGGGGCTGCTGGAGCAGCACAAAGAGATCCCTCTTGCCATGAGGTGTTTCTGCCTCCCCACGAGGGCGTTTGGGGATTATCTCCCTGCTCCAGGATCCCAATCCCCTCCTGGGGGCTCTGGCTCTGCCTCCCGGATCCGGCTGCCCCAAATCCCTGCCCGGGGCAGGGCTGGGCCCTCCTCAGCCTCCTCTTCCCACCGGGAATGAACGGGGCCCTGTGAGCCACCAGGAACAGGCAGGAAGGTGGCACAAATCCTCCCTCGGGCGCTGGCATGATGGAAAGCGCCCAGGATTCATCCCTCGCCTCGGCAGCCAAGAGGAAGGACGAGGCCAAGCCGTGGGAGCCGCTTCCCACGGGGAGCCGGAGCTGCCGGGGGGGCAGGGAAGGGCTGGGGGGGCAGGGAAGGGACGGGGGAGCTGCCAGCAGGGATCGTGTCCTGCGTTTGGGGCTGGATCTGTGTGGGGTGTTCGTCCCCACCCACATCCAGCCCCAGTTCCATCTCCAATTCCAGCCCCAGTTCCAGCCCCAATTCCAGCCCCAATTCCAGCCCCATCCACATCCAGCCCCAGTTCCATCCCCAATCCCAAAAGGGACAGGGATGTTCCTGCCCCATCCCAAAGGGAACGGGGATGTTCCTGCCCCATCCCAAAAGGGGCAGGGATGTTCCTGCCCCATCCCAAAGGAACAGGGATTTTCCTGCCCCATCCCAAAAGGGACACAGATGTTCCTGCCCCATCCCAAAGGGACAGGGATGTTCCTGCCCCATCCCAAAGGGACAGGGATGTTCCTGCCCCATCCCAAAGGGAACAGGGATGCTCTGCCCCATCCCAAAGGGAACGGGGATGTTCCTGCCCCATCCCAAAAGGGACAGGGATGCTCTGCCCCAGCTCCCCAAGCAGAGCCATGCTCCCGTGGTGTTCCAGTGGGACAGTTCCCATCACCTGCCCCCCAAATATCCCCACCAGGGCTGGGACTGGGTTGGCTTCACCCCCCCATCCCCTGTCCCTCCATGTCCCCAGATGTCCCCCGAATGTCCCCTCCTGTCCTTTTCCCATCAGTTTCACCGCAAACCCAGCGCTGGGGGCCGGGGGTGCGTGTGGGGTGACCGGGGGTGCCCTGGGGGACTTGGGGTGCACTGGGCTGCTCTGGAGTGGGGGACCCACGGAGCTCTGGGGGGGCCAGGAACTGCTCCGGGCTGGGCTGGGCTGGCCCGGGGGGGCTAATCCGGGCTAATCCCGGCCTGGCACGGGCACCTGCCCACACCTGGAAAATCCCACACGTGCCCGAGCCCTGCCCGGGCCCTTCATAAGGGGCAGAGCCCGTCCGGGCTCATCCCGCGCTGCCCCTTCGCCCGCCGTGCCCGAAACCCGCCGCGAGGATGAAGCTCTGGGCAGCGCTGCTGCTGGCCGGGCTGGTGGGCAGCCTGGCCACTGCCCGTGAGCCGGGGACACGGGTGGCACCGGGGTGGCACCGGGGTGGCACTGGGGTGGCACTGGGGTGGTACTGCGGTGGCACTGCGGGTGGCACCGGGGTGGCACTGGGGTGGCACCAGGGTGGTACTGCGGGTGGCACTGGGGTGGCACTGGGATGGCACTGGGGTGGCACTGGCGGGGTCCTGGTGGGTGCAGGAGGGTGTCCCCAGACTGGGGGGGGTCCTGGGGCTCCCGAGCCCTGCCCAGGTGGGCGATGCCAGCTCTCCTCTTCCTCCCACAGTCCCCGTGGAGAAGGTGGATTTTGAGGGGCTCCTGAGGGAGCTCAGCAAACTGCTGGACCCCGATGAAGGACCCCAGGAGCTGCTGGGGCTGCTGGACCCCGATGAGGAACCCCAGGAGCTGGAGGAGCCCAAGGAGAAGCCCCAGGAGCTGCTGGGGCTGCTGGACCCCGATGAAGAACCCCAGGAACATCCCTCTGTGAGCGCCGCAGAGCCCGAGCACCCCCAGGAGAGCCCGGAGGAGCCCGAGGAGCCCGAGGAGAGCCCTGAGGAGCCCGAGGATCCTGAAGAGGAGTCAGAAGATCCTGAAGCAAACCCTGAAGAGTCCGAGGATCCCAAAGAGAGCCCTGAGGAGTCAGAAGATCCCGAAGAGAGCCCTGAAGAGTCTGAGGATCCCGAAGAGAGCCCTGAGGAGGCTGAGGAGCCTGAAGAAAGCCTGGAGGAATCCGAGGATCCTGAAGAGAGCCCCGCTGAGTCAGAAGATCCTGAAGAGAGCCCAGAGGAGCCCGAGGATCCCGAAGAGGAGTCAGAAGACCCTGAAGCAAACCCTGAAGAGTCCGAGGATCCCGAAGAGAGCCCTGAAGAGCCTGAGGATCCCAAAGAGAGCCCTGAGGAGGCCGAGGATTCTGAAGCAAACCCTGAAGAGCCTGAGGAGCCTGAGGAGAGCCCTGAGGAGTCAGAAGATCCTGAAGCAAACCCTGAGGAATCCGAGGATCCCGAAGAGAGCCCTGAAGAGCCTGAAGAGAGCCTGGAGGAGTCAGAAGATCCCGAAGAGAGCCCTGAGGAGGCTGAGGAGCCTGAAGAGAGCCCTGAGGAATCCGAGGATCCTGTAGCAAACCCTGAAGAGCCTGAAGAGAGCCTGGAGGAGGCTGAGGAGCCTGAAGAGAGCCCTGAAGAGCCTGAAGAGAGCCTGGAGGAGTCCGAGGATCCTGAAGAGAGCCCTGAGGAATCCGAGGATCCTGAAGAGAGCTCCGCTGAGTCAGAAGATCCCGAAGAGAGCCCAGAGGAGTCAGAAGATCCCGAAGAGAGCCCTGAGGAATCTGAGGATCCTGAGGAGAGCCCTGAGGAGTCAGAAGATCCCGAAGAGAGCCCTGAGGAATCCGAGGATCCTGAGGAGAGCCCTGAGGAGTCAGAAGATCCCGAAGAGAGCCCTGAGGAGGCTGAGGAGCCTGAAGAGAGCCTGGAGGAGTCGGAGGAGATCAGGTTGGATCCGAGTGTCCTGGTGGACCTGGCAGAGAAACTGAAAGGTTTGCAACCCCCCCAAACCCCTTGGACCCCCAAGGAAGGGCAGATCTGGTTTGGGACCCCCCTAAAATCCCTCAGACCCCCAAGGAAGGGCAGATCTGGTTTGGGACCCCCCTAAAATCCCTCAGACCCCCAGGGAGGAGCAGATCTTTGGGTTCTGTCTCTGTTCCAAAGTGGGCTTGGTGCTGCCGGGTCAGTTTGTTCCCGAGGGTCGGGAACGATCCCAAATCCCTGTCCCGGCTCCGAGCGGGAGGGAACGGGAGGCTCAGACCCCGCCGAGGCACAGACAGAGGCAGGACAGGGGCGGTGACACCGCCGGGGCGTCACACGGGGGGTCAGGAGGTGCCAGGGGCCAGCGCCAGCGCTTTGGGTGGGGGGGACCCCGGGGAGGGGGCCAGGAGCCCCTCGGGGTGCTGGAGACCCCCGGTTTTGCCCCCGCAGAGGCGCAGGAAGGCAAGAGGAACGAGGGGGTCCTGTCTCATCTGATGGACGCGATTAACTGGCTGGTGACCCATCTGAGCAACCACATCTTCGGGTGCGCACGGGGGCTCGGGCGGCCGCCCCGAGGTCAGCGCCCCAAAACGGCTCCCGGGCCCTCCCCGCGCCTGGGGGGTGGGGGGCGGCTGGGGGGGGGTCCCAAGGTGGGATGGGGGGGCTGGGCCGGGGCTGAGCTCCGCTGTGTTTGTTCTTTTCCAGGTGAGCCGTGAGCGCCCTGAGCACCCTGAGCACCCTGAGCACCCCGAGCACCCTGAGCACCCTGAGCGCCCTGAGCACCCCGAGCACCCTGAGCACCCTGAGCACCCTGAGCACCCTGAGCGCTCCCCCCGCTGAGCTCCCGGCTCGTCCCGCGGCTTTCCCCGCTCCACGCACCCCCCAGCCCGCCCCGCACATCCCAAAGAAAGCCGATCCCAAATAAAGCCGATCCCAAACGCTGCCCGGCGTGTCCTGCCGGTTCTTCAGGGGGTGGGGGAAATGGGGCCGGGGGTGGGGGAAATGGGGCCGGGGACTGTCCTGGGGTCCAGCACAATGAACCGAGGACCCCCCACCCCATCCCGCTGCCCGTTTTTGGGGTCTTCGGCCGTGTCTTCCATCCTCATCCATCCCAGAGACGCCCCTGCTGCTCCGCAGGGATGGGGGCACCCCTCCAGCTGTGCCCAGCTGTGCCCAGTTGTGCCTCGGGTCCCGCCAGAACCGCAGACCCCAACCCCCAGCCCCCCTTCCCGTCCCCAAACTCCTGTCCCAATCCGGAGCTGGGCCCGGCCCTCCTTAGGGGGGTTGTGGGGGGGGGTCGCTCTCTCCCGAGGCTCTCCCAGGATGGGCAGGGACAGCTCGGGGTCCCCACGGGGGTCCCAAACTCACTGGGGGTGGCACACGGAGACCCCCGGGTGGGCGGGGGGTGGCAGGGGACAGCCTGGTCCCCTCTGCCACACCAACACCTCCCGTGCTTGTCCCTTTCCCGTCTCTCCTCCCTGCGGGGGTGACCGCCACCCTTGGGGGGGGGTCCCAGGCAGTCCCCGGGGGTGTCCCCGGTGCCATGGCTGGTCCCATCCCCCCGGCACGGGTGTCCTGGTGGGTTGGCAGCTCTGGCACCCC